AAACCTTATAATTGAGGACTTTGGTAATTAAGTTAATCACAAAAAAACTCCCAAAACCATAAAAACTTGCAGCAATGCTGCATTAGGTAATAATAACTAACTTTCATTTACTATCAGACTTTGGACTATTTACATAATTTTAATGAAGACATTTTTAGTGTTGAGGTACTAGGTGTTTAAATTTAACATTAATATACTAGTACAATTCTTTCCTTCCCTTTTTATTTAGTCTTGATATGTGGTCGTTATAGTGCAAGGACAAGAGCACTTCCTCTCTTTTTAACAGATTCAGATTAATTTTAAAGTTAACCATAACACTACATTTTCTGAGTTTATGTTTGTTTTCAGGATCACTCCAATATTCTTGCCATTTAATTTACCCAGTCTCATGAAAACACACCCCAGTTCTTTTAACCTGGGAAATTCATTGGTTTACAATTTTACAGAATTAAAAAAATGTATTGTGCAAAACTTTGTGGTATTTTTAATGGTTTGAAAAGATGTCTAAAAAATCTGTGGTACCTCTTTTAAGAGCTATTATTGTTTATTAGCATAATTAGAATTCCCTCACCAGACTTGTTTGAGCAAAGTCCAGGATATTGAAATACATATTTTGTATATAAGATTTGTACATTAAATGACAAAAAAACCCCATTGATTAACTCTTCTTTCTGTATGCAGCTAAAACAAATATTGTGCAGAAAGCCAAATCAGACACAGATCAAAGCAGAATAAATGCTTTATGACTATATTTAATTCAATAGTGATATAGAACAAGTACCCACATAATTCAGGTGTCATCACTTTGTCTTAGAACAGTTGGACACACATAATCTAGACAGAAGTGGAAAACCTTCTAGTCCTCATGATCAAGCCTATCCCTTTATTTCATTCTCAAATAAATGGGTATTTGCTACTCTGAAGGCATATAGGTCAGTTTGAATTACAACACATAGGAGTAAAATGATTGTAATTTCAAGTTTGTGGGATATCCCTTCCCATTCCAGAGGGATAAATAAGTCAAAAGGCCCAAGGTAATTATGGTATTAAGTTGATCCAACAACTCGGTTTTTGTCATAACTGTAATTCAAAGCAATTTTTTAAAAATTGGAACACAGGAGTGAGCCAACTGTTAGGACAATTTTAACTAATATTTGAGGCCCGTGCTACGCTTTCTGTTAAAAATAAGGAAATTTTTCATGCCACACTATTTATCAATCTGTTTGTACTTTTCTTAATGTAGAGGGAGAATGCTGTGTTCCAAGTTGTGGATGCCTCATCATTGGAAGTGTTTAAGGTGAGGGTGGATAGGTCTTAGAGCAAACTGATCTAGTGAAAGATGTCCCTGCTTATGGAAGGAGGGTGGACTAGATGATCTTCAAAGATCCCTTCCAACTCAAAGCGTTCTGTGATTCTATATGTGATCTCAAGTCTCATGTTAGCAGAACAGAAAGCAAGTTTAGTAATAGTAGTCATGAAAACCACAGTATAAAAATATTTTTCCCATAGCATTCAATATCATTATAGTTCCAAGGAAGAACAAACTGTAGCCTACAACAGTAGCTTCTCTTGTATGCTTCTCAAAGGGATTCTCAAAAAATCTGTTAGTTCCTGGCTTCTCTAAAACCAAACACATGCACAAAATCCAGCAGTATAGTTATGAATAAGTGCAGAATCAAACAGGTAAGATACATGATCAGTATTGTAAGACTTTCCAAACTACAGCATAGATCGTTCTATCTGCCAATCTCCACTTCTATCTGTAAATATGAACACACAGCTATGTTGCTTAAAATCACATGGAACTTCAGGTAACCTATGGTTCCTTCTATTCTTTGATGTTAATACTAAAGCATGAATAAAAAAGACCATAGTACTTCTATGTGCAGCTAAGTGCTGAGTAAAAAAGTGTCAGGGAAAAAAAATGACTTTTAACTGAGTTCTTAAGTTTAAAATTACTAAAAACGTTAAACATATGTGATTTGTTTTAAGTGTCTGGAAAATATTTTTAACAGGCATTAGTGAGTAACAGAAAAAAGAGACTGAAGAGGCAAACTGGGATAAAATTAAGGGAAAATATTCAAAGAGGGAAATATAGAAGAGAGTAAAGAAGGGACAAAACACTATTTCAGAAATAAAGGGAAAATTACAGAGGAACATAAAGTCTGTATCCACCCTTTAAAAACATACTTAGAGTTGTTACCAGAAATTACAAACATGTTTCATTTTAGTAACAAAGATCTTTATTAAAAAATCCACTTATTTCAGGTGAAACTTAGAACCTACCCTACACATTTTGCTTGTAGGAAAAAAAAAAAGAAATAAGGAAAATATTCCAAAATCCAGTTATGTTTCCACAAAGACTTTAATTCAGCCTTATATAAAGTACAAGGATGCAATACCAAGACTGAAGTCAATCACTGTTTCTGGACTTAAGGGGAAATATAGAATCATTTCAGTATCAGAAAGGAAAATAGACAAAAACTCTAAGAAAAATAATGAAAAGAAAATACTGATATAAGGAGCTATTTATAAGAAATTACTGTTACGCTTTTGGTTATGAATGTGTGTTCATTGCACATTTCCATAATAAAACAGATGAGTTTAAACTACTGTTTATTAGTGTATTTAAATTCTGTAATCATGTAAAACACCATTGTTATTGTAACAAAGGAATGTAATGCATCTGTTTGGGTAATTTAACCATTTGAAAATAACTCTTTAATTAATGGCTTTTTTAAAAAAAAATATGCTCTATTAGGAGAATTTTGCAAGATTTCTCACAATTCAGCTGATGAAGTGCTCATCGTAAATAATCATCAAACAAAAAGTGTGAAATGCTGCTACAGATTGAAATTCAGCCACTGTTTTCTTTAAGACAGTCTATTGGAATCAAAATATAAGAGCTACAAATAGCAGCTCTGTATTTTGAAAAGATGTTATATCTTGTTTAGGAGCCTAACTGCACTGCAACAGCTTGACTGGGCAAGTAAGTGAAAGCATTTTAAAAAGGATTTTATCTTTGACCAACAGTGGCAGAAGACTGCAAATCAGCAGTTACTTCAGAAAGATTCAGTGCTCAACCTTTTCTTATAAAACTGTTATTCTTCAGAAATTCTACTTCTTTAACTGATGGCAGACATAAGCAAGAAAACAGACTCTTGTCAAAACAAGACAACAAAACAGAGGATAACAAGAAAATCCTGAAAGGATTAAGTTGTGACTGAAGCATTCTTTCCCTGAATAACCTGAGTTATGAGGTCATCAAATGTTGTGGTATCCTGACAGAGTTAAGTACAGGAAACCCTATGCTGATGAAGAAAATGAAAAGAACATTGTCTTCTTCATTTAGTAAGAATAGATTTTTACTTTTATTTTAGATTGTTCTAAAAGACCAGATTTCCTTTCACAGAGCCAATATTGAATAACTGCAATATTTTCATTATCTATATGCAGTACATTCATCTACATCAGAGCTGATCTGAACATCAAAAGATTTATTTAGCTGTCTGTGTATTAAATTTACTTTCAATATAATTTGCACATACTTTTTTGGCTGTTATCTGACTGCATTGTTTATGTTATAATGAAAGACACTATTGTCAGATTTGAGAAGGTCCTATATTTAAGATCTATACATAGTTTCACAGTAGTTGATGTTTCTACTAAAATGGCCAAATAAGAAAGAAATAAGTGTTAGAAATAATTATTTACATTATTACTGTCACTGAAATTGGGAATAAACTTCTTAACACCAACGTAGTCTTAAGAAGCAGGCACTTCTTTATTGCAGTGCTGGATGCACGGGGGATCGCTCCACTTATTGTGCATACCTGACAGTGCATGAAGTAAAGTTTATGTTATAAAAAATCATACATAATCTGCTTCTGTGACCACCACGGACCACCAACTCAAAAGAAAAAACCCTCCAATGACCTTGTCCCAAGGACTTGTCTCTACAGGCTCTTCTCCACATCCCAGTGGTCAGTAAAACAGTTTTCAAGCTTCTATGGGCATTAGAGTAATAAATTTCAATCCTTGCAACACTACAACACAGATGCATTGTTTCTGATTCTGTTACTGAGTTAAAGATTAGAACAGGCCTAGGACTTTACAGTCCCTTCTTATTAAGGTCTTTATGGCTTTCTAGTTCCAAGCTAACAATCCTAACTCAGACGTTTGCTTTATGATTTTATTTAATAATCAAACCCAATTCTTCTGCTTAGTTTTGATTATTTCATCAGAATACTTGCAACATGACTATTATTTTTCATAATTAATAGCTCCAGCTAACAAGAATGGGGATGCACTTTAAACAATATA